AAAAAAAAAACTCTAAAACACCAAAATTAATTTTAAATTCAAATTAAAAAAAATATTTATTGATATCCTCACCATTATTGTTATCATACTGTCATGGGCTATGACATCATGGATTCTACAAACAATTTTTCCAGCTAAGAGCCATTCATCTACAGCGGCCATGCTGTAAAATGTTATCGGCGCCGCCCAAAAGGTACTATTCAAAAATTTATTGAGACCAAAACATCTGTAGTCGGAATCATATTTATTGTTAGAGTTCAGGATTTTGAATGAATATATGCTAATTTTCAATAATCAATATTAATCAAATAAAAATGTATAAAAGGCAAAAATAATGTACCGCACACATTTTAAATATAATACTGCATATGACTTGGCAATTTTATTCCCTGCTAGTATTATATTTATGTCGAACAATTGCTTCCATGTTTAAATGTAAGTTGCGTTTTATGTGTGACGTCAAAACCACACCGTCCAACGATCCGTATTCAAAATACATGTTTGGTATTAATTTCGTGCGATTAAAATAATTTAGAGAAAAATTGATGTAAGGTGTAAGTTATTATATAAATGTACTTATTCTATGTATTTATTTAAATAATTGTACTTTCCATAGTATTAAGATTTGTTTCACGGTAGTTTATATTTAAGATAAAAAATAAAAATATATAAAATTACAAACATGAATAATATTATGCTCTTTTATTTAAGTTTAAGCTAATAAGATATTATAATTAAGTATAATGTAGAAATTTAAATAAACCTAAAGAGAACCCCTTATAAAACCATATTTTAATTCAAATAAATACATATATTATCAGTGGTTAAAGTGGGAAAAATGTTGTGGGGGGACTGTATACATCAAAAATTGATGGAGGAGCGTTCCCCTACCTAATTCTAAATCTTACCAACTTTTTTTAGGAAACCCATGAGGTCTAAGCCTCTTTTGTTACACATATATGTTCTTAAAAAATTTATTTTCATAGGGTGTAAAAACAAATTTCCCCCCAAAGAAAAATAATTCTATACATATGCCTGCTCAGTAAAAATAAATTGAAATACATTAGTACTGTAATATATAAATACAAATAAATATAAGTACTTTATATATTATAACTACATATTATTTCTTTTTTCCACTTATTCAAGTTAATCAAAAAATAAATTTCATCTAATATTTTGTTATATTACAATAAGTATTGTATATTCAATATTCTATTTTAGTGATCAATGCCATTAAACGTCCACCCGGACTTTTGGCGACTTAAATTAAAGGAGACACATAATCTTACCTTAATTAAGAAGAGGAACTCCGTCTCCCTCCGCTCACCACTCAAACCACTGTATTTTATACATAATTAAGTTATAATTATTATAATTATTGTAATTTACGAATATATAATATATTTCGATAAATCATGAATATCTTTTCGATTTGAATTCTTCATATGTCGAGGTGATCGATAAATACTTTTTGGGGTATTGGCATTACAATATTTTTGTACATCAAACTATTTTGATGTCATTTATTTTTCAGCGCTCTAATAATTTTTAACATCATACAACTTTTCCAGTTATTTTGAGTTTTATTGTTAGAATTTTTTTTACTGTAAATCGTCCTAGAGGGTTAGGAAATACCAGTTTTTTTTCTATTTAATATTTGATCTATATTATTGCTCTAGTCGAATGTTGCTAATATATTTAGATCTTACAAATACTGAATCACTGTACTGTGTCTTCATATTGACTTGTTATACTATTTTCGTTAGTCTATTCATGGTTACTAGCAATGTGATATAAAGTAAAAGAAAAAATGTATATACTAATAAATCAGAATTTCCTTTGCAAATGACTTACCCATAATACTTTTATCACTAACTAAAATATAAATTCTTATAAAATAATAAACATTTTCAACTTAACATTAAACGTTTGTACTGTATAAAGTAGTTGTGAAATGTACCTTTGAACCTTTACGTATTTGTATTATAAACATTTATGGTATGATCCACCTTTTCAAATTGTAGAGTTTTAAAATAATATTTCATACTTTATAGTTGCATAATGTATGTTCTACAAACACAGGTTTATTTTTTAACTGTTTATTTGTTATATAGAAACATATGCATTGTACAGAGATAAATTTACTCATGATTTTTAATGAACACCAAGGTTTGCAAATATATTTTGTTAAACATAAAATAACGTTAAATATAAGTTTGTTATAGGGCAGTTTCAATTTTAAGTTTAAGAGAGTGTACTTGTGTGAAATTGAATAGCAACATGTTTCGAGAGCAGTTTACATACGTGTAATTCAGTAGCAAAATATTTTTAGGGGAAGAAGTTAGTAGGTTGGAGTATTTTTCAATTTTTTGTATTTGTATCGTTAATGATTTTTTAGATATCTTTGATATATTTAATAATTATATTTTGTTCGCCTTTTTCTATTCGATTTTGTAATATTTTTCTGAGATATTCAATTTTATCTCTCTGTTTGATTGTTTTGTCTGAAGAAAAATAAATGTTGGACCATTTTATTGAGTTCTTTAAATTTTTTTTGTACACGTAAAGTAGCAAATACATCTGACTAGGCGCGGATCTAGTAATGAAAAAAGGAGGAACTAGTAAAATGAGTTACTGTCATAATTCGTTACGGATGTCGATTTGAATGAAATCTTTTTTACGTCTAATTTTTTAAATATTTTAGGTACTTACGTCCGATCTGGTTCGACCTTATGTCTATGGGGAGAATTTAGCCCCCATATCCCCCCTTGTATCCGTGCCTGCATCTGACTACGACTACTGTGTAAGATGAATTTTTACGAGCCATCGTCTATCAAGGATAGCTAATTTTATTCTTCCGAAACGAAAAAATGTAAAATTTTCAATATTCTTATTAAAATCAGTTAAAATATATTTAATGTTTTCTACATCACTTTCATTCTATTAGGTAGATTATATTGTATAATATTATTATCACTACTTGTCTGTATATTTACTCTTCAATAAGATTGTGTTCAAATGAAGAATGTTGAATTTGGGTTTTATTATTTTTATAGATAATATTCGTTTTTTATTTTTTTCAATTTTTAATTTAAGATTCTCAATATTAAAAAAGAAAAAAAATATAAGAACGATTTTTTTCCATTAACTTAGAATATTTTTTTAAAATAAATCATCAAATTTTCAGTCTAAGCGGTTGAATTTTTTTATATAAGAATTCAACATTGAAATTATTTTTACATTTAATGTTTTAAGTTCTGTGACAGTTTTTATGTTCATTGTATTTCGAAAAAAAATTACAATAGGAAAAAATTGGATAAATAAATAATAGGTTGGATGGGAGGTTAGCCTTTGAAGGAAAGGGGTTGAGAATTAGAAGAAATAAAACAAAGTATATGAAGAATATGACTATGAAGGAGAAGTTGAGGATATGAGGAGACCAATGACAATAAGTTATGATGCGATAGGTGAAGTTGAGAACTTTATATATTTAGGATTATTTCTACAAAAGGTCGGGGGTTTTGGTATGGATGTAAAACATAGGGTTAAGTGCGGTTGGATGAAATGGAGGGAATCGTCGGGCGTTTTATGTGATAATAGAATACCAATGAGGCTGAAAGGTAAATTTTACAAAAGTGTAATGAGACAAACTATGCAATATGATTAGTAGTGTTGGGGGTTGACTGGAGAATAGAACAAAGTATAAGTGTTGTGGAAATGAGAATACTTAGATGGATGAGTTGAGAGATAAGAGAAGATAGAATAAAAAACATAAAAGATATATGAATATGTAGAATATGAAGAATATGTGAGAGGTGTATTGGTGTACCATCTATAGTGAACGAGATGAGAGAAAATAGACTGAGATGGAATGTCGGAGGGAAAAGAGGAAGAGGAAGACTAAAAAAGAGATTGTTGGATACGATTAAGAATGACATGAGGCCGTTGGTGTATGCGTAGGGGATGTAGATGATTGAGACGAGTGGAGGTTTATGATAAGGGTAGCCGTCTCCAAATAGCTTGGAGAAAGGAGTAGAAGAAGAAGTATTTTGAGAAAATAATTACTGTATTATTTTTAATTAATGTATCTAATACTTTAATATATGAAATAAATTTATATTAACTTTGATTTTTACATCAGCTACACATGCCAGCAATATCAATGACGGTGATAAATTTACTGTTATACTTAGAAAAATATCCGTTCCACAAAATTAATGGCTAACTTTTTGTTCAGCGATGTTATCATAGGTACCTACTTGTTTATACCCCAAGTGTTTATTACAGTTCACTAATACATTTCTATTAATTTTGATATAAAGCAATTTTAAATACGTGAACATATAAAGTTTCTTATTAACACACAATTGTTATAAACTCATTGTTACAATAATATTACTTAAAATATTTAATCTTGATATTAAATATAAATTTTATGTTAGATTAAGACAGCAAAAATTAATAATTATAATTCAAATAATTGCAATGATAGATCTCTCGGCTAAAAACATATATGATTAAATTAAGTTGGATATAAAAACAATACGTATTTAAATCGTATAAATTAATCTTTATTTTGATCACTCTATAACTATTTTAAATTTGTATGGTTAATATGTTATTACTACGGATATACTGATTATTGTAATTATATTTTGCGGTATCATCGAATCTTAAAAAATATGATCTGCTTTTTCGTCGTCCATTAATGTTTAAGAATCTATATACTTGCACTTACAACAACATGGAAGTTTAAATTTTTCATAATATATATTTTTTGATGTATCAACGGTCACTAATTTGATATTAATATATTCTTGTACACAACATGTTTTAATATTGTTTGGTAATAATTTCGTAAATGGACAGCTCATTCCAACCTTTCTAAATAAGTAATTTAGCCGATTGATACTTGAAATAAAATAGAAATTAAAATATTTTATATTTAAATACCTGCATTGTATAATACTTATTCCTTGTTTGAAATTACTGTTACCATCTTGTACAATGTAACGCCATTTTCCATTATGATTGAGAGCTACTTCTGGATAAATCACAAATTCCTAGTAAATATTAGTAATAATTAAAAAACATAAATATGATGGATAAATTAGCGATTTTTCGTGGATTCAAATATACGAAACAAAATAGTAAACTACGTAAAAAAAATATTTTATATTTATTTTTAATATAATATGTCTACATTATAGATTTTCACTCAGTGATCTCGACAAACTCAAGTTCAAATAGTGAAAATCATGACATTTTAGAATATAATATAATATTTTAGGAAAAAATAAAAAATTAGATAGGTTCTTACTTTAGAAAAACACATATTCTTCAAATTCATATTATTCAACGAAGATATCTAAAATATAAACACTAAAAATTAATAAAATATTATAAAAATCAAGCATAGTACCTTAATTTAATTATGACATATATAAAATAATGAATTCACTAAGATTAACTATTTAATATAACTATAATAATTGTTATTACGTACGTTATAATTCGTTGCAGAATGTTTGTCAATTAAAATTGAAAACATTAAGTTTTTTTCATTAGTTAATAACTTAAGTATTTTTTTTCTAATAACAAAATAAATATAATTTAAATTAGATTAATATTTAAATAGGTTCAAAATAAATTATATAACATTTTTATACCTTGGATAATTTTGAATTTTTTCGCAAAAAGTCAAGTTTTTTGAACAATTTTCAATGTCATGTGGTCTTGGTTCTAATTCAAGATCAAAATTTTCTTCCCTTCTTGTTTCGATTGCGTTTAAAACTGGTAAAGATTTAATTTGTGGCGATTCTAAACCAATTTTGTTATTGCTTTTAAATATCGAATATTCAACATTTTCTAAATTATTTGTCGGAAAAATTACCCTTCCATTTGAGTTTTTAAAAACATTATCAATTCTAAACAGACATAATTATAAAAAAATAAAAATAGGTATATAGATAACTAACTGAGAAAATTATACTGTAAGTTAGTTGAATTGATGCCCATAAAATAAATACCAAAAAATAAAGAATAAATGTATAAGAATCGGAATGATGTTGCTGAGGTTTTAGTATAGTACTTAAGATTGCAGTTTAATTAAAAAAAAATAAGTGATGATAAAAACTGCCCTTTAGAATTTATAGTGTTATAAATATAAATGTGGAATATCTAATACATTTGAAACAAAAAAACGAATCTATTATCAATCGATTTTGGCATAATACTGATTTTAGAATCTATAGCAACAAGTTGACAGAAATAAATCATAATAATATCTCTTTGGCAGTTTAATAACACATATGACAATGTGAAGTAAGCTTTATATAGTTATTTGTATACTACAGCTACAATAAATTAATATATAATAAGGAATAACAAAATTAAGAGAGTTAAGTAATTTTAAGTTCTATAAACTTTAGACCATAACGGCATAACATAAAAATATAGGTATCAATAAAAAAATTAAAACAAAAATTAATTTTTTATTCATACTTCATTAACAGACAAACTTCTATAGGAGAAAACATTTTTGTAAATAGTAAACAGTTTTGACAAAAAATTATGGACAAAACGATTTTTAGTAAATTGCTCTTTCATATTTTTACTTTTTACATGGCTCAAGGGGTGGGTGGTTCCCCCCCCCCCCCCCCCCCCCCGTAAAACCGCCACTGCATATTATAATAAGTAAACTGATCGTTTACAATGTATGATTAAGTTATTATTTTAAGCTAATTTTATACCAATTTTAATATAATATGCTAATATAATTTCTTGTGAGCTTATATTTTTTAATTTGCCAACCTATTTTTGAATCAAACCCGATAGTATTCTTATTACAATAGGTATTCGACATAGATGTAAGTAAATTTAGGGTTTTAACAATAATTATGTACTTCAAAATCTATAATAAAGCATTAATAATTTATTGTTATATGTTATCTATAAGTTACAGCAGAGGTTCCCAACCTTTTTTGACTCACGGCACCTTTTATTATTTTCTAAAAATTTGGAGGCACCCTATAGCCTATGCCCTATACTCTATAGTTTATACTAAATACGCAATAGTAATATATCGTATATTTTGTATCTTCGGTTTATTTAGCATTAATAAACAATAAGGATAAGATAAAGTCACAAGTATTTCACCGTAAATAGCATTAAAACCGTTCACATTAAATCGATAGTGATCGAACCAGTATGAAAATTGAAATATATTGATTATCTCAGTATTACTATGTAAAAATTATATGTGTTATAAAATTTATACATTAAGTTATATTGTATATACCTAATTAATTATACACAATAGGTTTTATACTATAGGCATAGAGTATAATCTGTTTTATTAATCCCAGTGCTATATTTTTCATGAAGGCGTTTAAAAATAAATATATATTTCAAATATTTTCGCGGCACCCTAAATTTAAGTTCGCGGTACCCTAAAGTGCCGTAGTACTCTATAGTGCCGCGGCACCCTGGTTGGGAACCTTTGAGTGACAGTATTAGATTAACCTGAAAGGTACATAAATCATTAATTAACCTACATTTTATATTCCATATTTTCTAATATTGAAATGGAAGTTGTGTACACTGGAATTTCTGGTAATATATAGCGATTATTTTTTGAAACTAATGAATGATCTTCCGAGCTTAAATTATTTTTTTTTCGTTTAATTGAATTGATACAATGAACCTGTAAAATAAAAATAAACTTATTTAACATAAAGCTTAAACTATTTTTAATCCTTTCAATTAAAGTTATAATTAACTACAAACTCAAAATAACTGATGTAATAAAATAGATTTACTAATAATAGGTTAGAATGTTACATTAGAATCACCACAATTCTTTAATAAATTACCGACTTCTAGTCTATACCTATCTATATATATAATATATAGAATTACAGCAGATTACAATAAGCTGGAAATTAAATAAACAACTGCTAGATATAGTTGTTTATTGATATATGTATAAATAAATTGCTATAAATTTGTAAAGTTAATAATTTAAATACATTTGAGTGTACTTTATCTATAATATTAGAAATATTTATATTATTATCGTTGTTATAAATGTAATTATGTTCTAATTATTAATATTTATTTTAAACTTTAACCTGTGTTTTTTTTACCTTTTTATCATTATCTATCTGGTTAATGGCATAATTACTGTATACTATAGGGTCATGCCTGTTATATATAAATAAATAATATTAAATTTACGTATTTTTGACAGTTTTAAAATAAGAAAACAGCAAGACTTCTGATCGAATGAAACACCACTACTGGGTAAAATACAGGTATGAGAAATGGTATTGCTGTATTGGTCTTTAAACTTGAAACCAATGTAGTATCATTTTCGAAAAAAAAATTCTTATGTGAACATTTCATGCCCCTACGATTATTTTTATTTAAGTTATAATAAAAAAAAAAAAAGGACACGATTTTATCAAAAACCGTAATTTTATTGTTTTCTTATAATTTTTCGTTTGTTTTTGTCGCAATTAAACAGTTGGATAATTTATAAAGCGAACGTTCTAAAATACCGAATAACCTACATTTCCTATAAGAAATATCTAATAGTAGATATGATTGTAGTAATTTTTCTGTTCGAAATCGTTTAAACAGAAACGGGTAAAAAAAGTACACAAATACTAAACTAGTACATTCTTCGTTTCACTCAGAGTCTAAAACAATGTTATTATTTTATATTTACGGTTATATATGCTAGTTCACTATTTAAAGTAAAAGAATTTTTAATTTTATCATAGAATTGAAATGCAAATTAATATAAATATATTTTTTGGTAGGTATGATAAAAATAACGCTATTTTTTAATAACACAACAAATTAGCCTTATAATAATATACTGTATTTAAAGTACACACTTACCAATATTTTGAATATAAATGCATATTTACTAATTAAATTGTTAAAATTTTGAAACGAAATAACCTGAGAAGATATTTATTATTATTATTTATTATTAAATGAAAATGTTTACCGTGTTAATTAGAACCAGTGCAATGATCAGTAGTAGAAATGTAGTCATTTTGTCAGAACTTCTTTTCAAATTCACGTGAATTATAGTTGTTTTTGTTTTATTGATGGCCGTGAATACAAGTCGGCTCGTCCAATATTTTAATAATATATAATTGTAATAGGTCAATTGATTACTATGTGAGTGGGGAGCACACATATTTTTATCTTGCACAGGAGACAGGATCCTACATGCTACGTTTATTATCAGATTAATTTTAGAATATTTTAAAACGTAATTTGCTTATTAATATTTATTACATATTTACTGATTATAAAAAAATTAAATAAATATGTTTATTTTAATGTATATATTTAGGTTATTAAATTAATTTTTTTATGAATTCCGGTTTTATGGAAAAAAAAAAAGGTTCTAGAACCGGTTAATATTGATTCTGTAAAATACCGGTTATTTTTGATTATTAAAAAAAAATTTGATATTGTTATAGGCAAAGATAAACCATTCAATTTTTTGGGAGTTAATTAAATCACTTGCCCTTAAATACAAATACTAATAATAAAAATAATATTATTACTCTATTTTAAACACAAAAAAAAATATCAATAAATGTTAAATTTAAATACATTTTTATATTCTGTGTAAATGTAAATGTATTAGTTTTACATTGATTTAGAACACCATAGGTTATATTGTAACGTTTTTATCCAATAATAGTGTTAAGAGAAAAAAAAGCACTTCTTCATTCGTTACACTCAGAATCTAAAAAAATTACACATCGTAAAAATTTGAACTCATATATTATTAATTTATTTACTATACTAAATATATAGAAAATATAATTATTGTATATATTAATTAACTTAAAAAAAAAAATACTCGCATAATCCATTTATTTTTTTAAATTTGATTGATGCGTTTGTTTTCAACTCAAATGTGTACATTTTTAAATAAAATGTAATAAAATATTTATTGTATAATTTGTATAATATAAACTTATATTTGTAATCGTTTTTCTTTTTTTTCAAATAGTCTGTACGTAACTAGAGTGCGACTTAGTTGATTAAAGTAGAAAATAAATGATATAATATACAAATATAAAATAAATATTATTTATTTTATTTTTATAGAATCATGATTTTATGAACTTTGTATGTACCTCACGATGAATATTCAGTTTAAAATCGATCGTACATTATACATAATAATACTCCAGGGCTACGCATTTATTTGTTTATATATATAAAGTATTTATACATACATAAGCGTGCGCAGGAATTTTGTATGGGGTGTGCCATGAAGAAAATTTGGTCCTTTTCCTTAATATGAGCCTTACCAAATCTCATCTAATCATCCTTCCTAAAAAAAAAAAGATAAATTTGGATTAACCCATGGGGTAGATATTTCCATTTTTAATGGAGATCCTAGTTTATTTTTTCTAATTTTTACTATTTGTAGCTTAAAATTTAAAGAAAGTCCCCAAAAAAACCATGGGCCACAGGTGTGCCACGGCACACCTGGTTCACTCTGTGCGCACACCTATGTATACATATATTTAAGCAATACATATTATAATTTACAATTCAAGAAATTAAAAAATTCAAAAAAAATTGACTTATTTTTTTGAACCGACTAACAAGATATTAATACTAACCAAAATTAACCGATTTATAAGGAAGGTTACGGTTATTAATTTTTTTTTTAAATAAAAGTTTTGGTTAAAGTAACAATTACTTAATTTTTAATGTAAACCGGCTCTAAGACCGGTTCATTTCGATTCCGGTTTTGGCCCCCTCCTACCACGTCCGATATTTTGTGAAAAAAAGTACGTATCTAATAACGTACATTATCTGAATATATAAACACTATTTTTGGTGATATATTCATGATGTCTATGACTGTTGATCATCATTAGTTACTATAGGAAGTATTCACGAATTAAAAGATAATTTTCACTCGTTTAAAATAATTTATGATATAATATAAATATATATCATAAATTAAAACACAGTAAAAAACACACATTTTAAAACAGTCCATTACACTAAATATTATTTAGTGTAATGAACTGTATTTTATACGCTGTGGTATGTATTATCCGGGTGAACAAATATTTATTTCAACTTGGTATCAACTATAGAGTGATACAACTAATATAATATATATGCATATACATAATATAAACCAATAACTGATTATTATCATAAATTCAAACAGTCATACCGATTATATTAAGACCGAAAGAATATGTTTTTAGGTGTCGTGTTTTTTGGATTTCAAATAGAAACGGTCAATCTGACGCTTATGATATTTCAACGAGTATATATATTTCGACGTGTTTTATTTTATTTATCAAATTACAACAAACAAAGTTATTAAAATATTTTGGTAAATATTGGTAAAATAATTAAATTTTTCGAAAATTTAAGCTATGACCAGCAATGGTGTGCACAGAAATTTGGTATGGAGGGGGGATGTCATACATAAAAATGTATTATTTTTAATCTTTATTCTTTAATATTATATAAAAAAAAAAATGCAATCAAGGCAGAAATCCATCCTTCTTAATATTACTAAATTCATCAATAATTTGTTCTGCAGATATTGGATTATCTCGATGTATGTTAATTAACGCAATCCATTTAACCGTGACTACCCCATCGTATTTCTTAAATATGTTTTTAAATGTTTAAGACTAAAAAAAAAAAAAAGCCCATAGGGGATATATCCCTCACCCTGCGCACGCCACTGATGACCAAGAGTAGTAATGTTCAAGTCTCAGCAAATACCTTGTGCTAGTGTGCTAGTGTTGTGTTTATTAAAATGTCTGATGAACATTTAACAATACGGATAGAATTTAAGATGAATTTGATGAAATTCGTCATTTATAACTTATAAAATTAATTTCAAAGTAGGTATATTATAAAATGCATCAAAACTGTCTTGTATTGATTACATACAACTTTTGTCGAAGTATTTTCTTATTGAGCGATGGTGTAATTGATAGAATAGAATAGAGTATGAATGTTGCGGAAATGAGAATGCTTAGATGGATGAGTGGAGTGACAAGTGAAGATTGAATAAGGAACGATGTGAGAGGTAATGTTGGTATAGCATCAATAGTGGAGAAGTGCTATTCTGGTAAATTACAATAGATAGATTATCTAATTATTCGTCGAATTTTAACTGTTTCACCTATTACGTTCAATATGTTTTCTACTTCTAAAAATATTTGTTGAAATTCTTTTTCATTATTTTCACGAATTTAATGAATACCATGTACACGGTTTATTAATATGTTAATAACACTCGAATAAATAATTTTGATGAAAAATTTACAGTATCAGTCATTATGTTCGTTGTGTTCAAAATCATTTACAGAGTACACAAAATGTAAATATTGAGTCAAATGTTTAAAAAAAACCTTTATTTTATTTAAAAGAAAATGCACTGTCTGTACAAAAAAAAATTACAATAACAGGAATAACATCTCTACATTATTTTTGTTTCAGTCTGCATGGCAGTTTTTACGTCATATGTGATAACTGTAAGTTTAATTTACGTAGTATACAATTGTATTAATATAATTAAAAGTATGTTAAATAAATTAAAATAGCATTTCACCGTATTTCAAATTACCGCTTTAATTTTAAACAGGGACTCAATTTATCTTTTTTTTTTTTTAGGCGAGAATCAGTTTACCTAAAATTAATAAAATGGGACTCAATTTACCAAACCCGGGTTTTACGGTAGGGTGATGGTACTTGCACAGATTTTTTCGCTAATTATTTTGATTCTCAAAATGTTCACTACAATTATAACATATGTATAAATTAATTTAACAACTTTAGCTTTTTTTATGTCAGTATGTTTATTTCTTAAATATTTGTTGAAACCTGAAATAGAAAAAACCATTGCAACGGTTGCAACGCGTTGCATCGCAAAATTGACATAAAAACAAAACATTGATATTCTCTACATCATTGCTATCATAGTTTCATGGGCTATGACGTCTGGAATCTACAAAAAAAATTTCCTGCTAAGAGCCAATCGTGTTGGGAAAGATAACGAATAATTTTATCTAAACTATCAAAAAAGATAATGACCGAAGACTTAGCTAAGATAAAGATAAAAAATAAACTTTCAGTTAGATCTCTTTTCAAGAGAATGCAAGGTCGTATTTGAGGGAGGCGAAGGAGGCATTCGCCCACCCCCATGGTTCTTATTTTTTTTGTATATAATAAATTGATTTATTTAAAAAATGTAATGTATAAATAATTAGGAGTATAAATGACTAGTTATTATGATAATAAATTCAATAATATGTTAATTTGGTCACGGGTATCAATTTTTGTTTATCTTCATATATCATAACATTTTTGGTGGTAGAACGAATAGTGGTATTATCTTCCGCGAATATTGCTACGGTTATAGACATTTACAACCATAACCGAGGTATTTATAAGATAATATAAAGTAATTTAAAGTAACACTTTTTTTACCTCATATTTACTAGTTAGTTATTTTTCGGTGCATTTATGCATATTATATATTTTTGTATTTATTAGAGCTATGTAAGTCTTTAATAATTTTACTCGCCTATTTTTTTTTTTTACAATATAATATCTGGTATTTTTTGTTGTGCATAGGTATTTAGTCATTTTTTGTGCACAAATGCAAGCATATTTGTGTACTTTATAGAGCTAGAAGCCCCTAATCCATATAATAATCATAATAATTGACAATATTTGTTTCCATATTCTTTAACTTGCAAATATTGGCCAAAAATATATTTTTGTAAATTGAAAACATGGTTAAAATTAAAAATAGGCCAGCATAGACTAACAGGTTTGACTATGCTGCATGTGTATATAAATATTATTGTATTCATTGATGAAAACATCAACAAATTTGCCAAAATGAAAAAATGGAAATTTAGAATTTGTTATTTGACTACTTACCAACCTTATGTTTTCTACTTAGATATTTTTTTTTTTAGATATTTTTTTTAAGTTTATAAAAAAATAATTAATAGGTACTATTACAAATATGATTATTTGTTGTTTTTTTTATACAGGATTCAGATTGAAGCTACAATTTTAATATTAGAACTATTTGTGTTGTT